CCAGCTCTCGGGGTGGGAAAGGACATAAAAATGTTAAAAGAAACAAAAAGCTAAAGGAAGAGCATTGTTAGGAAACTGCTGCTGGATTTTTAAAGGAGCAGCTGCAGATTTAAAGGAGCAGTTGCAGGTGGCCCAGCAGGAGCTCCAGGAGGTTCCCTGAGGGACTCACGTTGTAGAAGAGGGCCTCTTTGGAGTGCTTCCCAAACCTCTGGTACAGCGTCTCCTGGAAAATGCCCATCCTGGCCGACGTGAGGAGGGCGAAGGTGAGGGCGGCGATGCCTGCAAGGGAAGCACAGCTCCAACAGCTCAGCCAGGCCTGGAGATTCCCAACATCTGCCTTTCCAGGCAAAAAAAAGCCCAGCCAGAAAAACTGGGAATGGCCCTGGGGTGTAATTTTATCCCAAAGGCTGGGATGGCACGAGACATGAGTGATTTATTCCAACCTCTTGGAAATAACTGAGGCGCAGCCCTAAATTGGTGGGAGCCAGGGAAGAGGTTTTTACCTCAATCAGTCCCAGATTTTCCCAGGGAGCCCCCCCCCCACCACCACCTGAAGGGGCAGATTTGAAATTCCCCCGTGGAATTGTGAGCTGAAGGAAGACCTGAAGCAGCCTTGCTATGGGGTCCAGCAGGCAGAGAGGAATTGAAGCCATGGAAAATGTCTGAGGCGTGCAAATATTCCAGAAATTCTCCTGGCACTCACCCAGCAGCCACCACAGGAAAGCCTGGAGTCCATCCTCCTCGTTCAGGCTGGAGTCAGAGGCCTGAGGGGACACACCAGAATCACCACCACGGCCCACCTGGACCCTGCTCTGTGCCTCCTGTTCCAGGCAAACCCCAAGGGCTCCCATTTTCTCCCTGGCACAGTTTGCTCCCCACCCTGCAGCAGATTCCACACAAAACCAGCGGCAGTGTCCCACCAAAAAGCAGCTCCTCGGGAAGAGATGCCCGGACTTGGGACACGGAAACAATCAGAGCCACCTGGAAAGCTCCCAAAAACCAGCCCTTTCCCAGGCTCCTCTGGGAGCATCCCAAGGATGAGTGTGCAGGGAGGAACAAGGGCTGTGCCCAAGCCTAAAATCAGGCCTAAAACCTGGTTTGTGGTCAATAAATTAAGGAAATCAGCCTAAGGGGGTTGTCAGAGGAGGATAAAGCTCCAGACTTGCCTCCAGTCTTTCCCTGTAATTCAGGGAAAATGAGCTCACTCCCCTCTGCCCCAGCTGTCAAATCCTGGATTAACACCCAGCCCTTCCTCAGAGCTTTCAAAATCCCTGAAATCCTGGGGAATCCCAAGGTTTGACAGCCCCCAGTTTCATTCCCAACCTCCCAGATGGCTCAGTTTTGGTTCGGGATTCACCTGCTCCTGGAAACAAACCCAGCTTTTACCTGTTACCTCTGTGGCCAAAAAAAAACAAACAAACAAAACCAAAAAGAGGTTTATTCTGAGCAAAAAGCAGGTTAAAAAGCATTTATAATTAATTTAAATCCCATGTCTCTGCTTGCATTCCTTCCCTGCAAAGCACAGGGGAGATAAAACCAGGAATAAGAGGAGGTTTAGAGGGAGGAGAAGGGAATTAGGAGGGAAGGGGTGGGAATAACGAGGCCCAGAGCCACGATTGGGGTTCTTTTCCCAGTCCTTACCACTTGCTTTGCAGACATGAAAGTGCAGGTGAAGATCCCGAGGGACACCAGGGCTATGGAAGTGTATTTGGACATGCTGTACCTGCCCAGGGAAGAGAGAGGAGACCCCTCAGTGAACCCAGCTCAGCTCCTGCTCTCCCTCAGAGCCCGTAAATTTGGGATAACGGGTTGGAAGGGGGCTCTGTGGGTGGGTTTGGAAGCTTCCCCTGTGCCGTGGAGCTGATTCCAGGACTGTGTCCCATGGGATGGGCCCCTCAGGATCAGGGAAGGCTCCAACTCCTCTCCCTGAGCAGCAGCACCAACAACAAGTGCCGTGATCGCCATTCCCGGGGGAAGAAGGGAGAAGGTAGGAGGAAGGAGGGATGGGGGGAAGGTGTTTTTGGGACTGTTTGATCTTTGGGAGTTCCACCTGGAACCCCAAATTCCAAACACAAGGCCAGGTGGGATCCATGGAGAGTGAACTCCATCCCAGGCACAGCCACATCCGGAGCTATTCCAGCTTCACAGGACAGGGAGGAGCTGCAGCCCTGGAAAATTCCCTCTTCCCAGTCTTTTTCCCCTTAAATGAGGGAGCAGGTGGTGGGAATGCAGAGGGAAGAGCTATTCCAGCCTCTGCTCCAGGAATGCCTCTGGATCCCGGTTTTCCCACCGTTCAATGGGAATATTTGACAGGAAAAGGGGAGGACACGAAGCCCCATCAGGATAAATCAATGGCAGGACATTCCCCAAGGATTCAAGAGAGAGGTTTGGGATTTCCCACAGCATTCCTGGCTGACCCAAGGAAAGTTTGGGATTTACCTTTTCTTCAGGATGATGATTCCCAGGGCCATGCTGGCTATGAGAGATCCCTGGGAAAGCAAAGGAAGAGGGAAAACAAAGCAGAGGGTCAGCAGGATGAAATTCCCCAGGGATTTGGGATGCAAAACTCAATCCCACAGTGCCAAAATTCCAAGAGAAATCCAAGGTAAGGAAGAATGACGGGGTGGGAATAAGAGGAAACGGCTTCTCCTTATGCCAGGGGGTTTTTGGATGGGATATCAGGGATCATTTCCTCATGGAAAAGGGTTTTCCAGCCCTGGTAGGGCTGCCGAGGGCAGGGGTGGAGGCCTCATCCCAAATCCAGCTCTCTGGGATGGGATGGTCAGGACACCAAATCCCAAATCCAGGCTCTCTGGAATGGGATGTTCAGGACACCACTGGGCCAAATCCCAAATCCAGGCTCTTCCCAAATCCAAGCTCTCTGGGATGGGATGTTCAGGACACCATTGGGTAAATCCCAAATCCTAGAGTCCAGGATTGGTTCCCCACCACCTCTGGAATTCCCTCATCCACCCGCTGAGCTGGAATTTGCTGGGATTTAAGAGGAAAGGGGGAGCTGGAGCTGAGCCCTCAGAGCAAGTCTGTTCCCCCCCCCGTCCCCAGAAACAGCAGGAATTCAGGATTTTTCCCAAGATTTTGGGGTCCTCGGGGGCAGCAGAACACCCGGAGCAGAGAGAGGCACCGGCAATAAGAATTCCAGAGGGAGGGTGGGGGGGAAAGCAGGGAATAAAATCCTGAGGGGCAGCACTCACCGAGCGGAAGATCATGTGCAGGGGCATGGAGATGTTGAGGTTCAGGGCGTAGTTATTGACCACACTGACGGTGAAGAACATGGCCACCATCACCACGTAGTACCTGCAACACCCAGAAATCCCCCTTTGGAATGCTGGGAATGCTCAGGGAATCCTCCTGGGTTGACAGGGAAAAGGCCCGGAGCGGAGCAGGAGCTCCCGGGTCCCCTCCCGGGGATCCTTTGGATTTCCAGCAAAACTCTCTTTAATAAAAAATAAAAAAGCTCTTTAACCACATTCAGCTCTTCCCCTGTGGAAAATGTTCCACGTGGGCCTCCGGTAGGGAAGGATCTGAGGGAGATTTCCTGTCAGGAATTTCCCTGAGTCCACGTTTTCCTCAGGCCCCCCCCAGGTTTTCCAGGGTGGCTGCAGGATGGGTGGGATTGAGGCAGGACAAGTGGATCAACCCCTTTTTAATAAAGGCTTTTTGGAGGTCCTGGGTCAGCCCTGCCCCTTCCAAAGTTTGGGATCCACTGTACCTGATTGGGATGGCCGGGCTCTTCCTCCCAAAATTGGCCTCGAAGATGAAACCTTCCACGGCAATGAACAGGAACTGGGAGAAGGTGACGATGTTCCCACATCCTGGAAAGCGTCTGGGGGTATGGAAAAGGAAGGGGAAGGTGAAACAAGGACATGGAGAACAAGGGGTGCCAAGAAAAAGAGGGAAAACAGCTCCTTATCCCACAGGGAAACCAGCCTGGAGAAGCTTCACCTGTCCAGGATTTCCTGATCCCTTTGGTAAACACCTCCCTGGGGGGGTTTATCCCATGGAACTTGGGGATAACAGGCAAGGATCCCTTCCCTAAACATTCCCAGAGAGGGAGGGAGTGATGAATCCCTCAGGAAGTGAAAGAGGAAACTGGTCTGTGTCACATCCCACCAGGATACAGGGCATGGATAAGGAACATCCACTGAAGTGGCACCTACAAGGCCAGGAATAATATGAATCCAGTCCTGGATTTCTGGTATTCCTTATTTCCACTGCACTTGGGAAGAGCCAAGGCCAGCTCGGTGTCCCTGTCCTGCCTGTGTCCCATCCCAGAGCCTGGATCTGCCCTCTGGAATTTTCAGCTCCCTGCTCTCCTCTCTTTTTTCTGGATGCCACAAAAAGGGGCTGAAGGATCAAGGAGGAACCTAAACCAGCTCATCCCAGGAGCTCCCGGGGAGCAGGGAAGGATTCCCAGGCTCAGGCAGAGCTGGCATTAACTGGAAAACCTGGAAAAAGGCACCTTTTCCCTGCATTCTTCCTGCCAATCCCCACGTTCCTCAGGGCTTAATTGCTCCCAGGAGGTTCAAAAGTTGCTCCGTGGGAGTGAAGAGACACCAGGATGGCAAACAGGGAACACAAAGCACATGGAAACTCTTGGAATAATCCAAGTTCATGGGTGCAATAACATCCCTTCCCAGGCACTGGACTTTGCTCCCTCCCAATTCCCAGATCCCTGTCCACGACCGGCCTTTATCAGGGTTATGTGGGGACTGATAAGAGGGAGATAAAAAAGGTTTTTATCTGCCCATTCTTTGCCTCACAACCCTCCCACAGCCCAAGAGGTGCCAACGAGCCTGGATTTATGGCCCCAACTGCTTTGAGCTGGAGCCAAGCGATAAAATCCTCCCAAGCCAGGGCTTTCCCTGCTCTCCCTCTGTTCCAAACCCACAAAAACTGATTTTTTGGGCCCATTTCACACCCCTTTCAACGCCCTGATTTCTTGTTCTGCCTCCCCAGTCCAGAAGAATTTCTCTCCTCTTTTCTCAGCCACTTCCCCCAGGTTTCAAGCCTTTTGTCCGTTCTCAGGCAGCTCCAGACTAAACAGTTCTCATTCCTCATCTTTTTCCTCATAAATCCCTGAGCTGATTTCTCCCAAACACCCCTCTGTTATTCCTCACCAGACTCCCAGCCTGGGCACTGCCTTTTGCTGTTCCAGGGCTTCGCTTTTAACGGGAATATCCATCTGCAGGAGGAACTTTCCCTTCCAGGTGCACCAAAAGCCCAAAGAAATATTGGGTGTTACCCCAATTCCAGCGACCAGGGCACAGGAATTGAGCTGGAGGGATCAGAGGAACTTCCAAAGTGGGTGAGAGGATGGATGCTTAAGAAAAAAAACTGTGTGAAAAGCAGCTTTTCCTTGATGTCTGCAACTGGATTCCTGGAATTTGGCTGGGCTTTAGGACACCTAATTCAGGCTTTGAGCAGGGCCAAACGTTTTAAGGTCTGCTTGGAGCCAGATCCAAAATTTCCTTCACTTCCAAGGGGTTCATTCCTCCTCTGTCACCGATGCTGCAACACGAGCCAGGCAGGAAAAGGTCGGAGCAATCCCTGGAAGACAAACTCCAGGAATGGCTTCTTGCTTCATCCAGTGACTGTGCAAACCTTGGGTGAAGGTACCTGCGTCCTGGGCTTTTGCATTCCCTTTTTTCCCCTTCAAAATCTGGGATACTGATGGGAGAAAGGACTAGTTTGGAAAGCTTGAAGTGAACAGAGCAGTGAGTGTTCGGGGGATGCAGCTCCAATCCCTGCGATTTTAGAACCACTTCAATCATTGCTTTTTCCCACTCGGGTCTAGGCCTTTCCACCTTCCCTTCAGCGTTCCCAAGCCCTGCCATCCCTCACAGCAGGGTGGGGAAGGTGAAATTCCCAAAAAAACCCCAACCCCGACCCGGCAAAATCCCGTCCCCTCCCATGGCCCAGGGGGGACGCGCCGCCCTTGGCGCGGTGGCTTCGCGGCTGCCAAAGATCACATTTGCAGCTGGAAAACATTCCCTGCTTGTCCCCAGGGACCTTCCCAGGCAGCTCCTGCACGTCTCCTCCTTGGCATTCCAGCCGGGAATCAGGGGTGGTCGGGGATGCTTTGGGAACAAATAGAGGGACCCCCCACCCAGTGCCAGGGCAGGTCAATGGCACGGCCCAAACCGAGGGGGACAACCCCAAAACCACCCTAAAAACCCCATCAGGAAAGGCGATAATCCACACCCGGGCTCTGCTGGCACATGGATGAGGAGCCCCAGGATTGGGAATGACCCCCAAAGTGGGAGGGGGGTGATCCAAGAACCGCTCAGATCAACCCCAGGTACCCCTCATCCCAAATCCCCCCATAATCTCCAGGATCCTCTCTGGCACCGCCGCTGCTTCCTCCCCTCACCAACCCTGAACAGGATCTGGGGACAACGCCGGGACGCTCATCCCGATCCCATTCCCTGCTCCCCTAACCCCTCCCCGCCGCCCCGCACCTGGCCAGCAGCTCCAGGAACACCACGTTGCTGCAGCAGCCGCCGAACACCAGCCCCACCGCCAGGGCCGGGTGCATGGTGTCGCTGCGGGCAGCCAGGCCGCGTCCCGGGCCGCTCCCCGCATCCCGATCCCGGGATCCTGCCCCGCTCCCGGCCCCGGCCACGCCGCCCCCGCTTCCTCCGCCCGCCGGTAGTTCGCTCCCCGCCCGCCCGCCGGGACTACAACTCCCGGCAGCCTTCGCGCCGCGCCACAGCGGGTCCCTACGAGCGGCCCCTGCGGGGCATGATGGGATTTGTAGTTCTGGGGGGGTGACGCCATGATGGCGGCGCTGAGGTGGCGCCGGGCGGGAGAAGGAGGAGGAGGAGGGAGAGGTTTCGTGGGGCGGAACGGCCGGGAAGTGACTTTTTGGGGTTATTTGGTGCATGTTAAAAGCGGCTGCTGAGGAGTGTGCGCCAAATCATTACGGGTTAATAATTATACATCCGAATAATGTGTTCAGAGTAATGGTTGGTATGGAGAGGGTAGGAGGGCTGGGGGGGTTCACCTGGGGAAGAGAAGGATCGAGGGAGACCTGAGAGCCCCTGGCAGGGCCTGAAGGGGCTCCAGGAGAGCTGGAGAGGGACTGGGGACAAGGGATCGAGGGACAGGACACAGGGAATGGCTTCCGACTGGAAAAGTGGAGATTTAGGTGGGATATTGGGAAGGAATTGCTGGCTGGGAGGGTGGGGAGGGGCTGGACTGGATTTCCCGGAGAAGCTGTGGCTGCCCCTGGATCCCTGGGAGTGTCCAAGGCCGGGTTGGATCAACCTGGGATAGTGGGAGGTGTCCCTGGGGTTGGAGCCCAACCCATTCCACGATTGTAAGAAATTCCGAGGTTTAAACTCCATCCCCTGCGCTTCCAGGTCTCTCTCCAGTTGAACCATTCCCAACCACGGGGGGATCCAAGAGGGAAAACAAAGCTCTGGATGCTCCTGGCACAGCCCACCCCCAAATTCCAGTCCCAAAGGGGGCCACAGAGTCCTGAGAGCAGCCCCTTCCAAGGTTTATCCACCCTCTCCATGGAGAAACGTTCCCAATATCCAACCTAAAGCGTTCCTGGTGCAGCCTGGGGATGGTCCCTCTTGTCCCTTGGGAGAAGAGCCCAATTCCCACCGGGCTCCGTCTTCTTTCAGGGAATCAGAGAGGGAGATTTACGGGTGTGATTCGCCCCAACTCGAATAAAAATGCAATTAACTCACAATCGAGTTCACATCAATTCACAGGGAGTGACACAATAATGTCGGAAAGTAGAAAAATAATCTTAAAATATTTTTATAGTATTCAAATAAAAATTATTAATTCACCGTTCAGTTCACATCAGTTCAGTGGTATCAGTGAGTGACACAATAATGTCTGAAAATTGGAAAAAATAATTATATTTTAAAAATATTCGGATAAAAATTAAATTAATTCACCATTCAGTTCACCTCGATTCAATGACATCACAATGAGTGACACAATAATGTCTGAAAATAGAAAAAAAAAATTAGTATTTAAAAAATAACCAAATGGAATCCACTACCATTCAAAAAATATTAAATTATTTCACAGTTCAGTTCACCTCAATTCAGTGGTATCGGAATGAAGGACATAATAATGTCAGAAAGTAGAAAAAATAATGTTAAAAATATTTTTAAGATATTCAAATTAAAATTATTAATTCACCGTTCAGTTCAATGGTATCAGAGTGAGTGACACAATAATGTCTGAAAATAGATAAAATAATTAATATTTTAAAAATATTCAGATAAAAATTAAAGCAATTCCCAGTCGAGTTCACCTCAACTCACTGACATCACAATGAGTGACACAATGATGTCTGAAAACAGAAAAATATTTTAAAAATTCAAATGTAATTCACTCCTACTCAAATAAAAATTAAATTATTTCACGATTGAATTCACCTCAGTTCAATGACATCACAATGAGTGACACAATAATGTCAGAAAGTAGAAAAAATAATGTTAAAAATGTTTTTATAATATTCAAATAAAAACTATTAATTCACTGTTCAGTTCACCCCAATTCAATGGCATCAGAGTGAGTGACACAATAATGTCTGAAAAGAGAAAAAAATAATTAATATTTTAAAAATATCGAGTAAAAATTAAGATAATTCACAATTCAGGTCACATCAATTCAATGACGTCATAAGGAACGACACAATAATGTCAGAAAATACAAAACAAACATAAAAAATATTCAAATGTAATTCACTCCCATTCAAATAAAAATTAAATTAATTCACAATTGGATTCATATCAATTCAGTGACACCAGAATGAATGACACAATAATGTCTGAAAGAAGGAAAAAAATTTAATATTTTAAAAATATTCAAATAAAAATTAAATTAATTCACCATTCAGTTCACATCAATTCAATGACATAATATAAAATAAATAAATATAATAAATACGTAAAAATAATAAAACTTCAAATAAAAATTGAATTAATTCACATTTGAATTCATATCAATTCAGTGACATCAGAGTGAATGACAAATAATGTCAGAAAATAGAAAAAAGTAATAATAAAAATATTTTTAAAATATTGAAATAAAAATTAAATTAATTCACCACTCAGTTCTCATCAATTCAGTGGCATCAGAATGAGTGACACAATAATGTTTGAAAATAGGAAAAAATAATATTAATATTAAACATTAAATTAATTATTAATCGAAATTAATATTGAAAATATTCGATTCACGTCAATTCAGTGACGTCAGAATGAAGGACACAATCATGTCTCAAACCAGAAAAAAAATGATTAATATTTTAAAAACATTCCAATCAAAGTTAAATTAATTCATCGTTGAATTCACATCTCTTTTCCCTTCCCTTCTCTTTGTCTTTCCCTTCCCTTTCCCTTCCTTTCTCCAGGATGAACATTCCCAGCTGTCCCAGCCTGGCTCCAGAGCAGAGGGGCTCCATCCCTTGGATGATCTCTGGATCTGCTCCAGCAGCTCCCGGTGCTCCTCCTGCTGTTCCCCAGTGCCCCATCCCCACCTCCTTCAACAACCCCAAGGGATTCAACCGCTGAATCCCAGCGGATACAACGTCAATTAAACCCGTTCAGCCCCCTCAGCGAGGAATTCGGGGATGGATTTAGGAGTTTGATGAGGTTCAGTTCGACTCAGCTGCCAAACCTGAGCTTACAGGAGCGCTCCTCCAAAGCCCGGGATCCCATTCCTTAAAAACCCCGATCTCTCTCCTTAAATCCTCCCTCCTACTCCTTAAAAAAACCTCGGAGATTAAAACCTCAAAACCCTCGCCGAGATCTTCGGGTGATCGAGTCAGGAACGACCCGAACGAGGCGGGGGGGAAATTGTGAATCCCCCAGGACACGAAGCAGTTAATTATTCCCGGGATGTTTCTCGGGGGGTGGGAGAAGGGCAGCTGGAGCGTTTTCCCCGCGGAGCTCCAGCTGGTGCTGAGGGGTGGGAAATGCTCAATCTTCAATTTACAGCCGCCCTGAACACCTGCAAGCGGGGCCGGGGAAGGATTTCAGGCGCTTTTAACACCTCTTTGAGGCTTCTTTTATTGATTAATGGGGGTGGGATGGTCCTTTGGCTTCACCTGGAATTCCTGAGTCTGGAGAGGGCTGGGCTTCCCTCCCACTTTCCATCTCAATCCGAGGGGTTCCTGGTTTTCCTTCTTCCTCTGGATTTGCCCTTTTTGGCCTGGTTGTCTCCTATCCAGAGGATCCTCAACCCCAGGGATGGGCAGGACCTCCCATGGGCTCTGGAGTTCCCAGGACAGCAGGAAGGAGCCCCAGGGGATCTCTGACTTTCAGCAGGAAAACTGTTGGGGTTTTTTTGGGATGTGGGGTTGCTGGATCTTCCTGATTTTTTTTTTTTTTTTTTTTAAACTCAGCCATTTTTGTGGTGGGAATTTTAGGAATGGCTGGAGAGGGGGGTCCATCCTACTGCTGGGAGCTGCCGTGGGATGCAGTTCTGGCTCGGAGGTGGTTGGAGCTGAGGATCCCGGTATTCCCATGAGGGTGAGAACACCTGGAAGCAGGGCTGGTGAAGGATTTCAGGGGCTTTTAGCAGCTCTTTGAGAGTTCTTTTATTTATTAGTGGGGCTGGGATGGGCCTTTGGCTCCACCTGGATCCCAGGGCTTGGATGGGGCTGGGGTTCCCTTTGTTCCTGGCATTCCCTTTGTTCCTGGGATTCCCTTTGTTCCTGGCAGTTCCCATGAGGGTGAGAACTCAGATCTGCTCCCTATTTAGGGCTCATCCCCTCGTGTCCCCCGCATTCCCAACCCTGTCAGCAGAGTCTCCCCCAGAACTTTGTGGTCACCCCACTGTCCCCACCTCAATTGTGGTGTTCCGGTCCTTTTTGGGGTCCTTTCCCAGGTGTTCGATCCACAGGGCTTTTGAACCCGTGTTCCCTTTGCTTCCCAATTTCTTGCTGCCTCCAAGTACCCTCCATCTCGGACGCCATCCCTCAGTCCTCCATCTTGAACCCCATCCCTCAGTCCTCCATATTGGAGACCATCCCTCAGTCCTCCATATTGGAGACCATCCCTCAGTCCTCCATCTGGGACGCCGTCCCTCAGTCCTCCACATTGGACGCCGTCCCTCAGTCCTTCATCTCGGACACCGTCCCTTAGTCCTCCCTCAGTACTCCATATTGGACGCTGTCCCTCAGTCCTCCACACTGGACACTGTCCCTCAGTCCTCCGTATTGGATGCCGTCCCTCAGTCCTCCATCTTGGACACCGTCCCTCAGTCCTCCATATTGGACACTGTCCCTCAGTCCTCTATCTGGGACGCCGGCCCTCAGTCCTCCATCTTGGACGCCGGCCCTCAGTCCTCCACACTGGACACCCTCCCTCAGTCATCCATATTGGACACCATCCCTCAGTCCTCCATCTCGGAGACCGTCCCTCAATCCTCCATCTCGGACACCATATCTCAGTCCTTCATACTGGACACCGTCCCTCAGTCCTCCATACTGGACACCATTCTTAGTCCTCCATCTTGGACACTGTCCCTCAGTACTCCATCTCAGATGCCATCCCTCAGTCTGCCATATTGGACATCATCCCTCAGTCCTCCATACTGGACATCATCCCTCAGTCCTCCACCTTGGACACCGTCCCTTAGTCCTCCATATTAGAGACCATCCCTCAGTCCTCCACCTTGGACACCATCCCTTAGGAATCTCTCTGGGATACCAGCCCTCAGAAATCCCTCTGCTTTTGCAGGATGACCCCTATAAAGTGCCCTCCCCATGTCATTTGGGATGTCTCGTGTCCCCGTCAGCGACTCCAAACCCCTCTATTTGCCCCATAAATCACTTCTTCACCCCATTACTTGGTGTTTCCCATCCCTCCACCTGCTGACACCTGGAATCTTTATCCCCCTTGGAATCACTTTCTCTCCCTCCCTCCCAGCGATGCCAGACCCCTCTATTTGCCCCATTAAATCACTTTTTCACCCCATTACTTGGTGTTCCCCATCCCTCCACCTGCTGACACCTGGAATCTTTATCCCCCTTGGAATCACTTTCTCTCCCTCCCTCCCAGCGATGCCAGACCCCTCTATTTGCCCCATTAAATCACTTTTTCACCCCATTCCTGGTGTTCCCCATCCCCTCCACCTGCTGACACTTGGAATCTTTATCCCCCTTGGAATCACTTTCTCTCCCTCCCTCCCAGCGATGCCAGACCCCTCTACTTGCCCCATTAAATCACTTCTTCACCCCATTCCTGCTGTTCCCCGTCCCCTCCACCTGCTGACACCTGGAATCTTTATCCCCCTTGGAATCACTTCCCTCCCTCCCTCCCCCTCCTTTCCAAACATCGCAGATATTTTATTCTCATTTTGTGCCCAGGAGGTAAAAATCTTTAGGCGTGGGGTTTCTTTCCCCCCTTCCCTTTCTCCCCTCCTCTCCATTCCCACATTCCTAAAGCGCTGGGGGTGGCCCCCCCTGCCCTATTCCCCCCTCTCCCAGCTGGAGAAAGGCTTGGAGGTGGAGTTGGGGGGGGAATATTCCTGGAGCAGCCCCTCCTCCTGCTCACAACTTCTGCTTCCCGCGGCTCAGGAGTCTCTCGGGAGCTCGTGGGGACGCGGATTCCCAATTTTGGGACGAGACGCCCAGGTAAGAAGCAGGGGGATCATCCAGGGATCGGCTTTTCCACGCTCCACTGTGGGTTTGTGTGTTTTTTTTTTTCTCCCTCCTCCGTCTCTTCCCATTCTCAGGTTGCGTTTGAATGAAGTGAAAAGAAAGAGAGGGAGGATGGGGAGAGGATGAGGAGGGAGCAGCGCCCGGGATGTCAATTGA